TTTCTGGGGCGATGAGCAGCCAGCCAGGAGATGAGGTTCTGGGACGCGTCGAGATTTCATTTGAAGACGGAGACACTGAATCAGTGAATGGAGCGTAACTGAAGTGACCGGTCAGCTAAGACCTCAGTAGCGGCCCCCCGCCGCACCCCAACCCTCCGGTTAGGGCTAGGAGAGACCGCCGCCGCGCGCGCGACTATTGTAAAAGCCCCACGGGGCTTCTTGATCAGAGGTCATCACAAACTAATTATTGGAACCACAGAGTGGCTGTTGGAAAAGCCCCACGGGGCTTCTTGATCAGAGGTCATCGCAGACTGATTGTTGGAACCACAGAGTGGTTGTTGGAACCACAGAGTGGTTGTTGGAACCACAGAGTGGTTGTTGAAAAAGCCCCACGGGGCTTCTTGATCAGAGCTCATCACAGACTGATTGTTGGAACCACTGAGTGGTTGTTGAAGAAGCCCCACGGGGCTTCTTGATCAGAGCTCATCACAGACTGATTGTTGAAACCACAGACTGATTGTTGAAACCACTGAGTGGTTGTTGAAGAAGCCCCACGGGGCTTCTTCATCAGAGCTCATCACAGACTGATTATTGAAACCACAGACTGATTGTTGGAACCACAGAGTGGTTGTTGAAGAAGCCCCACGGGGCTTCTTGATCAGAGCTCATCGCAGACTGATTGTTGAAACCACAGAGTGGTTGTTAAAAAAGCCCCACGGGGCTTCTTGATCAGAGCTCATCACAGACTGATTGTTGGAACCACTGAGTGGTTGTTGGAATCACAGACTGATTGTTGAAAAAGCCCCACGGGGCTTCTTGATCAGAGCTCATCGCAGAGTGGTTGTTGAAACCACAGAGTGGTTGTTAAAAAAGCCCCACGGGGCTTCTTGATCAGAGCTCATCACAGACTGATTGTTGGAACCACTGAGTGGTTGTTGAAGAAGCCCCACGGGGCTTCTTGATCAGAGCTCATCACAGAGTGATTGTTGAGTAGGCCACGCACGGCTTTGTGATTCCGGTTTCGCTCGCGTAGTCCGCACCAAGACTCACTATGGAGTGGATCTCGCAAATGCGCAGGCATAGTTCAGTTCGAGGGCGTATTATACTAATTGATCAGATGAATAACGTGGCGAATGTGATCCCTTGCTTATATAAGACACTGGTGCGATTCTCCGGGTTCTCCAGGACATACGAGCCGAGAAGGTGGAATCCACACTCAGCGCACGTATACGCGAGCAGATTAGCATCAACTTTGTTATTTAAAGAAACGGTACAAAAATACGAAGACGGCTAAAGCAAAGCCGAACAGTTCACCTCAGCAGTAAGGACAGGCACTACAAGTAGCTGGGAGACGCATGTCCAGCCCGTCTCGTTTGAAGCATCCCACCCACGACATAGAGTGTGTGGAGTAAGGTAGTGTGCAGGTCGCAAATTGGGTGAAGAATTGGAAATCCCGAACAAAGGGTCATGTAGGGATAGTATGTTCTTGGGGTCCGATATAACCAGCTGAGCGATCGGTTGGCCTGGCTGCTGGGGATTGATCTTGGATGAGAATGATGGAAGTTGGATAATTAGAAAGGATGAAATGATGCATCCGGGCATCCAGCCAGCCACCGGCGAGCGCGTCAAGGGGCGCCTAGCATCTCTGACCCATTATGTAAGGTTCATTGCTTATGTAAGCTTTGTTACGATCCTCAGATGTCCCTCACAATATGTACAATTTCAACAATAGGATGGATATATCTCCACAAGATTTGAAGAAGATGTAAAGAAACACCATATATACTTTCTCTAGCTAGTCTTCAAGAGAAATACATGAGAATTAGAATCATGCACGGAAGCTGAGAGTTGAGAACAATTTAAGAGCGTCATTTACTGCACCCACTATTTGAGAATAGTGAAATGCTGCCTACATCTTCCATACTATCTCGGTCAATTTCGCAACAAATATACCCCGAAACTTATTTATGTATAGCAGCCATGCCCTAAGACTATATCTAAATAGAGATTTGACCCGTATTATATCCCACCACGCTGTGTAAAGCGCTTACCTTGTAATAGGTCTAGCTTAATTAACACTTAACACGTGAACCTTAGGAGAAAGATGCGCTGGATATCGTCCCGCACCTTAAGCACGGCTACAGATGTCATGACTGTGTAGTAGAGCCGCTATAGAAAACGAAATGAGCCATACTATACGACTATATTCTACATAGATGATAAGTTTTAGCTAGACGGGATAGAGACGATATACATAAGGCCCTTGAGGCACCTGACAAGAATGGCTGTGGCGCTTACGTTACATAGATACAGGAAGACGTTATAAAACAGTAATAGAAGAAAGTGCATATAAATATATATATCTGTATTTACAAAGCATAGTATTGAACACAGAAATCCTTATTAATCTAAGAAAGGAGGTTTAAGAAGTCCGTCTCGCGGGAACTGTCGGAATAATATAATACTAGTTCCGCTTGTAAAGCCCCGCGGGGCTTGCAGTTAAGGGTAACGTTAAGGAGCAGAATGGCGGGTCTCGATGGTGTAAGAAACAATTCCCTACTTAGAGAGATGTGAAGAGACTCCCAGACCCTGCCCCCCAGTAGCCTCGTTCCGTCGTGGCGTATACCTACAGGCCGAGGCGGCGCAGCTGCTAGGAAGGAAACGAAGACGAAGAAGACGGAGGCGGGTCACCGTCATAGTAGGCCGGCCAAAGACAGCGCATGATGCACTCACGCCTTCGAACCCAAGCAACAATAGCGACATACCAGAGTTCAACCCACATACTAACAGAGCCAAGACCATCACAGCAAGATACCACACCGAAATTCCTCCCATAACGTGGCCACTTCTGTTTGTCCATCATTTGTCATTTAAGGGAGGCATTAGAAATGTGAGTAAGAAATGACCAACACACACGCGTGTGGCGAGGTAGTGAATGTAAGTAAGGTAGTGGTGAAACAACCCGGGAATGTGGACCGAAAAACGTGAGTCCAGCGGCCCCATCCACCCGACACACCACCTACATACAACTTCCTCTCCTCGATATATCATCCACAGGGGATAGTATTGAGCAGTTGATTGTGTTACCGACAGCAAGCAATACAGACAACGCGATGAAACGGAAACACGGCGGGCAAGATGGCCCAGCAGAGTGTCCCAGTCTTAAACGCCGTGCGGAAAAGGAGCATTTCCGGGAGAGCGAATCGGTCCGAGAACGCGCAAAGCCTTACCTGTTAGCAGTCGCAAAGTTACATAGTGACGTTCTGGAGACCACCTGGAGCCGGGGCAGGAACCGCCGCGTGGAGCCGACACATGTACGGCAACTCAAGGAGACCTTCATGAGGGGCGGCCTCGAGCGTTGTGCCCCCGAGAACCGTATGTTTGTCCTTTGCAGCGCCAAGGAGGTTCGCCAGGTCCTCGAGGCTCAGAAGGAAGACGAAGACGAGGATGCCGGCGAGGACCCGTCGGCCAACGGTGATAGTCACGGCAGTAACGAGCACCTAGACGACACGTCCTTCCTTAATTGGTCCGTCATTAATAAAACCAGAGTAGAGGTAATGGCGGGCCAGCACCGGCTCCGCGCTCTCCGAGAGTATATCGAGGCGACAGGCGCTCCAGAAACGGATTCCTGGTGGGTGTGCGAGCTGTATGATAAAGGTGCGTCGCTACCTACCCCTAGGTCAGCAGTCAGGCCACGCACACAAAGTGGCACCGAGTTGACTTGCTATCCGGCAGACCGGTTACCAGCCGAACTCAACATCAAGTTACGGGTCAACCGTAGGGACCCAAACTTGCCCGATAACCACGGCCAGATATGGACACAACTCGTGTCGGTCGCCTCCGAACCGAACGGGACCGCATCAGTAGATCAGGGCACGGTCGACCACAAGCTGGTGGAAGCGTTGCGCCTCGGCGGCGAGAAGAGCTTCCCGACACGCAGGCTCGTGACATTGTGGAACCACGAGAGGTGGCGGGCCATCACTACACGCTGGTGCCAGACGCGACTGGGGCTGGAAACGTTCAACATCTCGACATTCGAGTGGATGGCCAGCCTCCGTATCGACGACTACTGGTTTGCCACGCTCGAGGCGGTACTCAACACGCTCGACGCCCTACCGCTCGACGCAACGCAGGACATGGGAAGGGATGACTGGAACCGGTTGGTGGTAGCTCTTGATGGAAGGAACACCGACGCAGCCCCACGGGCGCGTGAGGCCGTCGAGGCGGTATTCTACACCGGCAGCAACGCCGATGGGCCGCACCGCCGAGCGGCCGGCCTACTTGATACACTGGACAACGAAACGTACAGGAAGACCTGCCGGGCCATCTGGGCGGAGACGGAACTTGTGTTTGTCGATCTGAAGCGTCTTCTCCGAAGCAAGAGGCCAGAGACGGAATCTGCAGTCCGAGTCCTGCAACATGTCATCGGCTGGGTTCACCAGGCCGGCGTGGTCGAGCTCAAAAACGTGAACCCCAAGTCGAAGAAGAAGCCCCAGCTGCGCGACCACTTACAGACCGCACTCGACCGTCTCAGCGCGTCCAGAAGCGCTGCGGGTGAATATCCAGAGGGCACCGCCCGCCAGCTCCAGCAGCGTGTTCTGGACTTCACCCGGCACCACGCAGGTGCCTTCCGTGACAGAGAGGCCCAGGCGCTCGTCGCCAGCGACATCACCCTCGTCGACGACCCAGCCTACGGCAGGCGGTTCAACCACGCCGCGTGGGCCCGTCTTCTGCGTATTGTTCGGCAGGTCACCGATACAGGGGACCAGGACGACCGCGTCCTCAGGCCTTCATGGCGAGCAGTGACGGCTACCGAAGAGGGCGTACGCCGGGAGCAGGTCTCCACGCTAGTGACCACGTTCTGTACCACGCTCCTCGGGCTGGGCAGTCGGCCGATCAAGAAGAACGATCCCTCGTTTCTCTCCCTTCAACAGGGGATGGAGAGGTTCCTCACGTCGTCTACCACCGAGCTGCGAGGTATCTTGACATTTGCCCCATTTTCGTCGAGCAATCCCGACACCCCGCACAACAGCGACGCTGGTGATAGTTATATCAATGAAGATGAAGACGAATACGAATTTGATAAGGACAATACTTCCGGCCGTCCACACCAAACACAACAACAACAGCCGTCAGACTCGGACCCTCCACCCTCAGCACAGAGATCCGGACGATCTCATCAGAGCAGCAAAGGCAAAGCGCCACATACACGAGCCGAGAGCCCGAAACTTCCTCCAAACAGCGACGAAGCGTCATACCCACCTCCCCGGCATCAGACGACAGACATCCGGGAGCAACGATCGAGAGCCACATCATTAACTTCACGGCCCCCAAAAAGCATACCATTCTCGAGCGGCAAGCCAATGCCACATTGGAAGACGGGCCCCAGGGCAGGAAGACGGTAGGAAATCAGATACATGTACAGTACAAGGAGCACAAGACAGGGCCAGACGGTCACTCAAGACAACGGCCAGCCACAAATTTAGAACGCCAGTCCATCCAGCCATGTCTTACTGTTCAACACATCAAGTATTTTGAGGATTCAACAAGATTTGTTTACTTCAGTTGTTTGTTTACCTTCCTATCAAAAGCCCCGCGGGGCTTCTCCTACACATCGCATTCCCTACCTGCTGTTATGGTACATCGGGAATGGCACTTCCAAACAACAACCTCCACGTGGAGGGCGCGGAATGAGAACAATCTGCTCGGGTCTCCTACTCAAACCTCGTTATCCCGCACCACCCACCCGAGAAGGAATGCCCCCCGGGGCTTTTGATCTCTGCCGTTGCATCTCCTCCACCACCCCTGGAATCCTCACGAAGTCCGCGTCGTACGATGGTTGTGACCAGGAGCGGGAAGTCTCATCAAAATATACCTACATTCGTAGAGGTTCTAATGTAACAGAGAACTACTTTCACCCATGTCGCCAATGATTGAATCAGAAGCCGTATTTAAGAAGGGCAAGGTGCCCCTGAAGTGAAGCTTCATCATGTGGGAGGAGAGACAGACCTCTATGGCCAGATCCGCGATCCAGGCATTAGTTGTATCCAGGCAAGCGGTAACCAGTGGCAAGATGTCCATCACCTACGACACCGATAACCAGCTAGACCACGACGATGATGAGGGGCCCTTCACCACGGAGCCGTGGACAAGGGATGAGGAAGACGACGAAGGAGACGAGGTGGATGAGCGAGGCTATGGTGGAGGCACACAGAGATGGGCAGTCGATCACACCACGGGCAACCACCGCCTCCAAGGTGAGCTGAACCTGGGATGGAGTGTGTCACGACCGACCGGCTAACCTGGGGACGTGGAACGCGTCGAACTCAAACAGCGGCACGCTTCATCCGTAAAGTACTGGACAAGGAATTCGAGCCTGCCGACGCACTTCAAATGATCCAAGAGAAGCATACTATCGACTTCGGGTCCGCCCGCGCAGGCTGCACCCAGGCGCGACCCTCGGACAGTTTCTTCCCACAGTTCTTCCTCGACTTCTTCAGCGTCGTGGGCAAGCCGGGTCGCCCCATCTCGCGACCCGACGGGCCCATCTTCGACAACGTTACCGTATCATTCCAGCGCTGGTCGGCACCGTACGGGGCCAAGCACGTCAGCGGGATTCCCTTCAACATAACGGGCCGGACCTTCCGAGTCGCACAGGCCGCCACGCGCGAGATCTGGTTCATCGTCATGCATCCCGTCACCGGCGAGATGTCGGAGCTGCCGGCCTCGGCCGCAGAGGCGCGAAGGAGGCGGGAGAAAGCCGGCGAGAGAAGCGGAATGCCTATGCCGTTGGCCTGCGAGCTGGCTTCGTACATCACGGGCGTCTTCCAGTCTCCGACGCTCCTGGGCGAGGGCGTCCAGCCTTCGTGGCGTCCGGGCGGCCGGGAGAGCCAGAGAATCAGCTCAAGCCGGTGGATGACCTTCCAGGAGCTGTTCATGGAAGGATGGGCAGCCTGGTCGGGCCGTCGCGGTGCCGACTCGTTCTGGGCGAAGCACGAGCCCGCCTTCCACGCCTACGACTACGGGGCAAACATCGAGATCGAGGTGAGCGAGGAGCTGTACGACCTGCCGCGGGAAAGACACCGCCCGATGGATGAAGACGACGGAGACAACGACGACGACGACGAGACGCTCCCCTTGCAGGAACTGTCAATCACGGACGACGGTCCCAGGCAGGCCCGGGCCGATACGACGAACGAAGCGCGAGCGGATGGCAGTGACGGTGGTCGCATCGACAGCAGGCACTACTCCCGGATCCTCCGCCAGTCTAAGGGCCTCTACAAGCTCGTGTCGGAGCTCGAGGCCCGCTTCCAGCTGGAGGGCATCACGGCCATCTCCTACGCGCTCGCCGTCTGCATCAACAGCGACAGGACGACCAGGTGCGAGGGCGAGGCCGAACGCTCGGAGACGCGGTGCCTGCTGGCAGACAGGAACATGCTGGCCAGGGAGTTCCCGACCGGCCGAGACTTCACCTTCTATCCTCAAGCGTTCCATCCCGTGTACGGGAACGTGTCGTCCAGCCGCCCGCCCATGTTCCTCGACTCGCTCTTCGCCGCCATGAAGGGGAACATGAGCCATCAGAACGAGGGCGCCGACGTCCTGTCGTTCGGCTACTTCCAGGGCTACTCGAACACGAAGCGCAGCGTCCGTCACAGCCCCCACGACCTTCTGGCAACGAAGGGGTACGCGACGGCAGCACTTACCGTGCCGACCTCGGACGCCAGGGCCACGTCGGCGGCGAGGGAGAAGCGCGAGCGGCTGCTGCGCATCCTCCGCGGCCCGAGCGACTCCAAGCCCTTCGCGAGAGAACGGCACCAGATCGGCGTCGCCATCGAAGGCGAGGAGGTCGCCTTCCGCATCGAGCAGGTGGTGTCGTTGGACGTGCGGAACATGGTGGCAAGAGAGCGGACGTTCGAGGCCGTCATCAGGCCCATCTTCCAGATGATGCGCTTCTTCCTCGTCGAGCACGAGTCCTTCGTGCACATATTCCGCTCCATCCCGCTCGAGATCTTCCCACGGATCATGTGCGCCTACTCGAGGCTCTTCGAACTCGCGCTCGGCGAGATGGAACGGGCCTTCGTCCTGGGCGGCGAGCAGGGACTCGACGTCGCACGCTCGGAGGCCGTCGCCGTCATCGATCGGCTCGGCGGGTACGTGTTCTCGGGCCACCCACGGCATCTGCCCAGGACCGTGCTCCGTCCGCTCGGAACATTCGATAGTCTCTGGGCCGGGGCCTGGCCCTTTCTCGACCCGGCCGTCCTCAACCTCGGCGCTTCGGGATCGGGCGGGGCAACCATCGACATGACCCGATGGCCCCACTCGGCGAGGACGGGCCGGCCCGTGCTGCTCCACGTCCGCGAGCTCCACCATCACTACGGGCCGCGGGTGGCGTCCAGCCGGGAGAGTGCCGTCTGGTTCGGGCAACTCGGCGAGACCGCGTTCACGAGCAAGACGGCCATCACGACATTCGCCGAGGAGCTCGTCCGCGAGCTGTGGATCCCGCAGACCAAGGCATTCATCATACAACAGCTCAGGCGTAGGCTCCACGAAGGTGGCGGCGAGGATGCAGGCAAGCCCATCACGATGGACGAGATCGCCACGTGTGAGGAGGCCATGGCGACCTGGGAGGCGGCCACCGACGCTTTCACGTGGAATGCGCTCCAGCGACTCTGGCTCGGCATGGAGTGCGGCGGCAAGCGCGTGGCAATGACGATGTCAAGGCGACGGACGAGACAGGATTTCGCCGCCGAGCTGGTACGTGTGATCGGGAGCGAGAAGGAAGGTGGCGCCGACGCCGTCTCACCGAAATCGGCAACGTGGCCCTCGACACTACGCTTCGCCATCGCCAACGGTCGCAAGTCGCGGAGCGTCATCGATGCAGCAACGTGGGCCGGCGTCATCACGGGCTGTCTCCTCAACGCACGCATCGAGTGGGTCCCGGACTCGGCGCGAGGACGGCTCACGTCGAGGAGCGTCGTCCGACTCGGGGGCCGTCCGATACTGGACCCGATCCCGGCCGGGCCGCCGGGGTCGCTCCGGCGGGCGGCGCAGGAGGCGGAGATCAGGCACAACGCCTCCCTGAGGGAGCGGGCCCTCCACCAGCAGCAATACACGCGGATCAGCTTCGGATGCCCCACGCCATTCACCAGCATCCCCAACCTCATCGCCGCAGGCTTCGAGCAGGCCAGGGTGACGTTCTCCGCGAACGGCGACGCGAAGGTGCTGGACCACTACCAACTTGCTATGAACTGCCTCGCCGAGAACATTGACGACCCGCTCTGCCAGCTGATGCTCATGATGGCGTTGACAGTGTGCGCCTCCGCGGAGACGCCACAGGTGGCGCAGGGCGAGCGGGCATTCAGCACGTCACCTCGGAGGAAAGACCCGGGCCAGCTCGCCTTGGTCATGGTGACGCGGATGTTGTGGTTTCTGTATCCGAAGGCGTTCCCATGGGCCAAGAAAGCTGGCGGGACTGCGTACGACGTCGCCGAGATGACGAAGAAGATTGGTGAGTGACCGTGCCGATGAAGTAAAACACCACGTCTTCACTAACGAACGATGTATCGCACAGAGCACAAGGGGTGCAGCAACCGGATGCTGCGGGAGCTCGGATGGGTCATATCGACGAGCAACCGCGATAGTCCGCGGAACACGGACCTACATCTCCGACCCAGGGAGGAGCTGCTGGGGATACTGCGAGAGCTGAGTTCCGCCCTCAGGCGCCCGGACGACTTCATCTCTACGGTCTTTCACAGTCGGGACAGGATCTGGGTAGAGCGTTGCGCGAGCATCATCAAGCAGGGAGTGAGAGGGGTTTCGGAGTAGAACAATCACAACAGTACTACGCACAGAGTGGGATTGGCATCTACAACCAGGTCCAACCTAGTCTTGGGCCATGGCGTCGAGTGCCGTAGCGGGTACTTGGCAGGAAACAATCCGCCCTTATAGGAGCTTTAGACGTCTAGTTATGCTATTGGGTGACTATTTATGAGGACTACTTGCCGTGGGTGAAGGACCTTGTTACTTTCGCCCTCGCCTCGGTATCACCTTCTCTATCATTTATATCACGGCGTACGACGTCGCCGAGATGACGAAGAAAATCGGTATGTAACGATGCCCCTCCGGCCAGGCATGCACAGCTAGTGCGGCGCCAGAGCACAAGGGTTGTAGCAACCGCATGCTCCGGGAGCTGGGCTGGGTGACGTCCAAGAGCCAGCGGGACAGCCCGAGAAACACGGATTTGCAGCTCCGGCCGCGCGACGAGCTCGTCATCATCTTCCGGGAGCTCCGTGCCGCTCTGCAACGGCCGGACGACTTTATCGGCATGGTCTTCCGCCGCCGAGGTAGGATTTGGGTAGACCGGTGCGCTAGCATTATCCACGATTAAGGCCGGACGTGGAATATAATCCAGAGAGTTCTAGCTACATAGATAACGACCAGTTGGTTAATCCAAGAAAAAAACCGGATGCATCATTATCTCGATTGTCTTTATACTAATACGACTCTATAAAAGCTGGAGAAGACTGACGCTTATGCCGTACTCTAGGAACGGTTCCTTCTTTCGATAGAGCTAACTTACTGCACCTTACGTAGCTTGAGAACCTTACTTTTGGTATTGGGTCTTGTTATATGAGCCTTCTTGGGTTGGGACATGGTTTACCATTACAAAAGGAGAAGAATTCTTCTCAAACGTCCAATTGGTTTACGAGTTCTTCGCTATACGAAGCTATGAGTAGCCGAAGGTAACTTGTCATGAGTAGAGATTCATTGTATCACGAATAGTCAGCTACGTAGTCGAAGCCACAGGAAAACATCCCATTCTATGCCATCACAGCGTCAAGTCTTACGTTGAGGACGATTGGGGTATTGTCTAACTAGCTCTGGCTTGTAGAATTCTCACGTGACCCCCTATCGTACCTAGGTACCTATTCAGGACAGCATACCACCTTTGCTACGTGTTCGTCGCGTCTGTCAGGTCATAACGCGATCTCGCCCTTACGCCCGCTCAACTTCCCACTACTACGCAATGCTCGCCCGGGCCTCTAACGAGTATAAAACGGAGACAAAGGCCACGGCACATGCGCAGAATGGCCTACTTAGTAGTCTGGATATAGACGCTCCTCACGCAACTACTACGGAAATGATTGGCCCAGTCACGCCCGCGAGCCCACCGCGGCAGCCCTTGAACGCAAAGCAGCGGCGCGCCATGAGAAGGAAGCTCCTCGCAGAGAGGATACAAGGGGGCACCCCTCCCGCGGCAGCGGTAGGCGAAGCCGCTCACGCGCCGGCCCAGCCCAGGCAGCGTCTTATGGACCCGGCAGCAATTCGTACAATGTTGTCGGCGATCCCCGCTTATACCCTCCCGACCCATTTCCTTCGGCCCCGCGGATTCACGGCTTCGGACGAGCTCATCCGCATTCTTAGGGATAGGATCCGGTGCCGGAACGTCGGCTGCGCGCTCTGCGCGTTCTACGAGTGGGGGCCGATAGTGAACACGCACAAGCTTAAGCGATGTGAGCATCGCGTAGAGGCGGAGGATGGTAAGGCGTGGTTGGCTATGTTCCGGGTATACCGGGCGCGCGGCGGCGGCGCGGGCGCGCGGTGTAACCGGTGCCGGTTCCCGGTGACGCTCTGTTGGCGCACGGCGTATAGAGAAGAGATGGATGAGCTACACGGGAACGAAGAAGAGGCGCTGGCGAGCGGCGCCGTCCTATATCGAGAGGTACAGTGCGAATGGGTCAAAGTGGTGCAGCGTTACGTGGCGGCGTGCATGGTCGTGGGAGGCGGCGGACCGGCCACCGGCGTGAGCGTCTTGGGGGCCACAGTCCTGGAGGGGATGGGCTGGTCGGATTGGATGGGCCTGGCGTCGAACGGTCCCGAACACATACGAGGGTGGCTAGAGGAGACGGACGAGGTGGACGGCCTTCGCTGTCCGCGACTCCTCCGGCTGTTCTGGCTCCTGTCAAACTGCTGAAGCGGCATGGCCAGGCGGGTCTGTCCGGTAGCTCTAGGCCGTTAGTGACCGGAACGAGGGGACACTCCTTTCACATCGCACGCTACCGTTCCTTTTCCTTCTTGATGACCGGGCCACTCTCACCGGCCACGTCCTAACCGGCGTGTATAAGATGTTTCCTAAGCGCGTCGACTTCTCGTCGCAGCGTAGATAGATCTCGCCGTAGTAAAGAGATCTTGTTCCTCTATCGAGCTTCGTTCTGGATGGCCTCGTTGCGTAGCTGCTGTCCGTAGGCGGTCGTAAATACTGCCTTTCCTGGCCGCGCGGGTCGATGTTGCATGGGAGGAGTGAAGCCGGACGGGCGGCGGTCCCTTAGCCCAACCATCCTCCCTAGGGGGTTTGCCCTCGAGCTTGCTTCTGGCGGGCCGGTTGCTGCTGAACATCGTTGGCACCACGGGACCATGGGCGGGTGATGAGTAACCCGGAGGTGGTTCCCCGCCCTCATCCGCCGTCGAGCGGACACGTATAAGAATGGCAGCAGCAACGGAGGCGCGCGTCCGGCTTGCGATAGGCCCGGGTACGTCGGGCTCTTTCTGACGCAACGCGCTCTTCCCTCGCGCAGCAGCCATCATCCGAAGTTACTGAGCAAGGCTGTAATCCGACAGACACCGCTCATGTACTTTCTACTAGGTAGGGTCACTAGATCGTGCGGAGGGATAGCACGACAGCTGCAGATGGTCGTCGTGTTATAACAGACGTCGATTACTAGGATACCTTGTGGCAAGATGGGGGTGTCGAGAACGGACGGTCGCCCTGCTTCAGACTGCTGCTCTGCCTCGCAGGTCTGGCATCAACCAGGCGCGGAGTCACGTCCCCCCTTCCGGTACCCTGCCTGATGGATACCTCAATCAACACCCCCAGCATACGAGCCACAGTTCTCTGCCGCCGCCCTGTCCATCCCCGACGGAACCCGCCGGTGACTCTGGCGCGGGCGACCCGTCCTCATTGCTCGGTCGCCATCAGTCTGCCATCACGCCACGCACATCCGCATATCGACCCCGGCGTTTATAGGTTACTGCTCGCCTTGCGACCACGTCGGCCTCCGCGTTCCACTCGCGCGGGATCTTCCAGAAGCTTACCCGGAACCCCTCCTCGTGGAGCTTCTCGATCTCCAGGACGAGCGCTTGCCACAGATCCCGGTTCTTCGTGGGCTTGCCGTTGCTCGACCGCCAGCCCTTCTCCATCCACCCACGGATCCAGTCGGTCGCACCGCCAGCAACGTACGCGGAGTCGGTGGCGATGACGAGACTTTCAAAGCCCTCACCGTGCCACGAGCGGAATTTCAGCACGGCCAGGGCCGCACGCAGCTCGGCGCGGTCGGCGGTCGCCGGGTAGAGCTCCCCATCCACGCCGCGGTCTTCGAGCCTGAAGCCGACCGAGTACCCCTCGCGCGACCCGAAGACGAAACCACAGCCGCCTACAGCGTCCGCGGCGCCGCTAGGTGAGCAGGCACCGTCGATAAAGGCTAGCATCTCGTACCGGTCCAGGCGGTTCACGAAGCGGCGCGAGCCCGGCGGGAAAAGATCGAGCGGCCTCTCCGTCGCTAACTCGGGCCGGTAGAAGCGGAGAGGGAAGAAGTTCCCGGACGTCTCCGTCCGGGAAGAGACCCTGCTCCAGGGCGCAGGCTCGTCGCGGCGAGAGTCGAGCCTCCTCGCGACGTGGCCACCGTCCGCGTCTGTCGCGGGGTCCGGCTCGGTTTCGCCGGGCGACGGTCGTCGACCATACCGGCTCTCGGCAACCTGGGCTAGGGCGGCGCCACGAGGGTCCGGGGCGGCGGCGTGGAAGCTGACCGTGCCGTCTCCGTACGACAAGTCGCATGCGCCATCATCGTCGTCATTGTCGTTGTTGTCAAGGTGGAAGCTGAAGTCGACATAGCACGTCCCGCAGACGACCCGCTGATGGGGCGCGCAAACGAGGACGGAGCGTCCGTCCGGCAAAGTCATTTCGGTTGGCGCGGTAAAGGCCATCTCGTCGTTCCGCCGATGGGGGCGTCCGGGCCGCCGTGGTACGGCGGGACTGAAGGCGGCAGGGTCGATGAGTCGCCGCCAGAGACCCGAGGGAGGGGGTCCCCCGCGTTGGCGTTCCCGCCGCGTGGGGCGCACCTGGAAACCCCGGGGACCCACTATGCGGCATAGGCCTGATAGGCCCAACGTACGAGGACGCAGCGTGGCGGACACGGGTCACCGTCGTTACCCTCGGTCTGGCGTAGGAATACGTCGTGACCCGCTCGGCCGCGTACGATTTCCGACCACGCCGCCCCCGGATCCGGAAGATCTAGACCGAGACTACTTCGAGCCTCGAAGGCGGCTAGGCCGTCTAGGCCTAGCTCCCGCTGATGGGACCTACATGCCCAGCCGCACCGGTCGGCCACGTGTCTCACGACGGCACCATCCAACGTCGTCCACGCCTCACCCCGGCAGCGATACGGCATCCGGCGACGGGGCAGGACGCATTCCCGCCGCGATCGGCCATCACACTGCTCAGCTTAGCACCGGGCCGTCCACTACCGGCCTGTGGCTAGCTGGCACACGACGTACGCCACGAAACCGGTCGTCCGAATGCCCTCTCGAGGCCGAAGGGAAAGGAGGGGGGGGGGGGGGGGGGAGGGGGGGTTTAACCCCCCAAAAAGGGGGGGGGGGGGGGGTGGCCCGGGCCCGCGGGGGAGCCTCTTTCCGCGCGGGGGGGGGGTGTAGGGAGAGGGCCGACGGGGGGGAGGGGGGGGGGGGGGGGGGGGGGGGGGGGGGGGAGGAAGTCGGGTTTCACACCAGCTAAAGCAGGGCTGGGCTGGTCTGGCCTGGACCGCGTGGAAGCTTTCTTCAGCGTGCCGGGGGGAAGTCACGAGAGAGCATGCTGTCCAGACGACCGACGTACGACGTGAGGGTAGGGCCGTCTTTGCTTGCGTTCCGTGTCGTCGACTGTGACCAAAACCGTGACCACGCATCCGGCACGGAGGCAACACCAGCCAGCCATTCAACGCCGAAATCAGATCATCCAGAGCACATGGACAAGTCCCCCCGCAAACAGCCAACCCCCCTATGCCAGAGAGTGGTAGGCACACCATTCACGCCCCGCGCACATCTGGAAGGTATACCTTAGCGCGATAGACATGCCAGCACACATACCAATAGCAGAACAGACCAGCTAAGGTCGCTAGTATATAAGGGTTACCACGGCGTGACCGTGACTAGATGCGGAACCATATACAGGGCCTCTATGTTATCGTGAAGAGCAACGCGGGTGTCGTCAGGTATCCGGATAGCCCTCCTCGCCCTCTGCGACTTAGACGACGTAACCCCATGCAGGTATCACCGTAGTAAAGCCCACATCAAGCGACCAGGTGTCGCGCATAAGCAGTCATAGACGTATCCGGGTAAGGTAATCGTTTTACCCACTAGTCTTGTGTATAAAGGATTCTCTCCCCAAGTCCGAATAGAGCCGCTGCGGAGTGCTGGTGATATGGATCCTGCGTTACACTATAACGCAGGGATTTTTCCTTTGCCTAACAACGTTGAGCGAAACCATCTAAGTGAACGAGAAGTGTTCTGCGACAAGATAAGGTACTTCGATTACTACGTGACTAGCTAAGGGATAGTGATAAATGAGATGAACGTTTGAAAGGTAAACGAACGTAAACATAGCACTGGCGCAGAATGCCAAAGGGTTGGCACAATCGATATCGAGGGCACTCCGTTACCCTTCAGGGGTATCCGCCAGTGCTCTTTGCGGGTTTATGACCCAGGTCTCCCCCTTGGGCAAGACGCCCTTGGCAAGGGCCTCGTCCAGAGCGTTGTTGATGATCTCTTTAGGATCCTGAGCACCAGGCCCGCTGGGCGACAATGCAACGGCGGCGACAGTACCGGGCGGCACGCCGTTCCTCGAGGTGTAGGTGATCGTCAGCCTGGAGCCATCCGGGAGGGTAAAGGTGATTTGGAGACCATTGAAGTAGTTGCGCAGGGCGTTGAAGAGGTATGTGGTGACCTGTTGCTGTAGGTCAGGGGGGATGGCGTTACCGAGAGCAACGAGCCACGCGCGAGGGTCCAGGGTGACCTCGACGGGCGGGCCGGCCAGGTCCTGCCCGAACTCGGCGGACCTCGGCGGGGCGAGCAAGGCCAACGTCGGCGCTGCCTCGCTAACGGACCACGTACCCTCATCGAAGTGGAAGCTCGTCCACCACGCGTACTTGTTCGTGCTGACCGCGGGGCTCGAGACATCCTTCGTCGTACCGCGGGAGCGTGTGCCGCTAAAGACCTGGCCGGTGTGGTTGCCGCCTTCGAGCCACCAGGCGATGGTCTCCTGCGGTTGGTACTCCCCGGAGCTTCCAGGGGGGAGCGAAGCCGAGTCGATGAAGATAGGCTGATACCCTCCGGTGGCAGGGTTGAAGACGCCGACCACGATGTGGATGCCTGGAACGCCCGGGTACTGGTAGTTGACTTCGCCCACCTTGAGCCAGCCGGGCTTGGACGGGGCCGTGGATGGAACGAAGAAGCCATTCTCGTTGATGTCGAAGACCCCTCCCTTGTCACACGGCTGCCACTTGCTAGAGATAACGACCTCTACCCCCTGGCCAGGCAGGACCGCGGAGAAGTTGAGAGCGTACTTGACATCCCACGTGATCTGCTGCGTGGGAGCAAGGCCGAACGACTGCCAGATGACGTTGTATGCGGGAGCGGCGTTGGTCGAGGCAACGGGCTGCGCGAGTTGCAGGTTCCACCCGTTATCCCGTATCTTGGACAGGTCATACTGGCCTTCCCACCAGGTAAGGGTTCGTTGGGACATGGCGGAGCGGGGCCGGAGGCGCGCCTGGTATACGTCTGCTTCAGAACGGGAAGTAGAGGGGAACTTTAGGGGTAGCAAGTGGATAATCAGGTCCTCGGAGAGATATGTCGCGTGGTGTGATGTTTGACTGGCCGGGAGGATGAGGAGCCGAAGAGGCCGTCTGCTCCGTCGGGTTTTATAGCTGTGAAGGCGGGTAACCGGTCGGGGGGCTAGGTAGACCGGAAGGATAGCATCAGAAGCGAGCAAAGGGGGGCGCTGGACAGGAGGGCGTGGTAAGCCCGCCCACCTTGCGAGGAACCGGAACCGGCGTATTCAAAAAGGGCCAGCAAGCTGAAAGATAGCGCAATACAAACCAGAAGGTTCAGCCAGCCACGCGGTATGGAATCACATCATGTCTCACCGGGTCACGTACGGACGGGCTAGCACGGAGCAAGCCGGCGGAGGGCTGACGGACTACAGGAGGTATACCAGTGGATGGGGTCCCAGGCCTGCCGGGGAGGGGTGCTAGTGAGCAGGTCATGCCGGTCAACGGGTCTTTAGAGTGACAAAGGTATACAGAAAGGGACCCGACGCGGAAGTACAGCTCTCTACTACAACGAAGAAAGGCTTGTTTTTTTTTTTTCCTTTTATGTACTACAAGCGAGTCGAAGGCTAAGATAGGGAGGTAAGAGTTAGAGAAGGGGCGGAGACGTCCCGGGACATATACGGCGAAGCCCCGTAGTCTTCACAAGACCACCAATACTACTACGGAGTCCAGCATTGCTTAGGCTTCTACCTTGGCCGTCGGAGCCTTCACTAGACACTGAAATGGGCCCGCAAGAACAGGGATCCGAAGGGTTCCTTTACAGCGGGGAGGAAGGCGTGCCGACTTCGGGGAAATACAACCGACGACACTAGAATGCAACCAAAGCTACAGAGACAATACGATTCGCGAGGTCGCCAAGAGTGACTCTGAACATCGTACATAGCGACGTGCGTACAAACCGGGCAAAGAGGATCACAGCCATTTTCGCGACGTCGTCCCCCGTCCCCATGCCAAGTAGCCAATCACATAACAAGACCGTGGTCCGGGCTCAAGAGCCCAGGCAAGCGATGAACCGCAGACCAGACAGGAAAAGAGCGCAGACCACGGAGAAAGTATGGAGAGTATAGGGGCAGGAAGGTCAGGATATACTGCAAGGACTAGGGCACTTGGTCGAGGATAGCAGACATGTGGCCGGGGACAGGGATTGAAACCCAGGGCAGGATGGCCGCCGCCCGCATGTAACAGCCGTACCGGATCGCAGACTTCGCATAGCAGATGGGGCAATGCGGCTCAGTCGATCATCCCGCACAACGGACGCCCGAGCCAGCCCGAGCCGTACGGCAGCTCTGTGGGTGGACGTAACCGGGCCGAGATAGAGGCGTCCGTGTTGGCGGACGCTCGTTAGTACGTTTATAGACGGAATAGGCGGCAAATCACACAGGGACACACATAGCAGGCGTAGGTCTTTGTGATCGATGCGAGGAGCAGGCGGGGACCACCACCGCCATTACAAGAAGCGACGACACCGGTCTAGAGGTTGGGCCAGACAGAGCGAGCCGTCGACGACCTACTCTAGTATTCGGCGTCGGAATGCATCGAGATACGTCCTGCCATGTACAACCATTGGCCGAAGCCATCCGCCGCCCCACTGCGTCCACCCTCGCATAGGGACAACGATGAATGATAGTATGATTCGTTGAAACCCTGTGTGGAGGAGCAGTGGGTGCAGTCCCAACGTCAGGACCCCGGCCCGGACAGTAGTCCTAGAGTCAGTGGCTTAAGAACTACCGCATCGCTAAGTAGAGCGGTTCAACCGCTAATGTGTTCCAAGTTACCAAGGAAAGGGTTGCAGTCAAGGTTGACTACCAAGAGAGTAGTGAGGACAGCTCTGCAGATGTCGTCTATAACATTGTGGGTAGTAACGAGTGGAGCACTTGACCTAACGTCACCGCGGGCTAACCTAATAAATACGATGAATTGTAGTAGTATTTTTTGAACATGCCTGGCCTGGTGAATACGATGAATTATAGTAGAGTTGTTTGAAAATGCCATGTTAATAAGTTAAGTGGGCCGGGATCTTTATGATTAAAATTATACGAAGATGGATAGCTAGGTATTTTGAAAAAATGTGGTAGAATCTAAGTATGGTTATAATAAAAGTTTTAGCTAATTTAAGCTGCGTATGCGTATACCGCTATAAGGTGCATGCCTCTGTATTAACTCTATATGCCTTTGTATTAATCCTGCCCCCCCCCCCCCCTACGTATTTAGGTCGGAATATATAAAAGGTAGAAAGGAGAGATTGAGGGCGGAGAATTAGAGATATTAGAGTTATAAAGGTAGGCATTACTAATTAAAGGGCATGGCTTAAGATACTATCTTTTTTGGATAGTAGCTAGACCTAGTTGCTTGGATGGTGAAGCGCGAGAATGGCCTAAGAGAGAAAATCTCTAGTTCGGAGGATTTCCCTCTTATTTATACTAGGCCCCAGCGATCTGGGGCGGTAGAATACCGGCCGGGGCGCACTTTCCCGGCTGATCTGGGGCACCTGTAGGCCACTATAAAAGAGGGATCTAGGTCTCCTAAAGCAGTTCTTTTTTTTTTTCCTTAAGCCATGTTGGAGAACGGTGAGTATGCCCTAGTAAGTACTAATATGTACTAGTTATATTAAGCTTACTACTAAAATACTAGGCTAAAGCCGAGTTTCCGCATTATCCTAAGGCTACTCTTTATCCCTCGTACTTGGCTCCCCCCTACGTATTTAGGTAGGAATATATAGAAGGTAGAAAGGAGAGATTGAGGGTGGAGAATTAGAGATATTAGAGTTATAAAGACAGGCATTACCGATTAAAGGGCTCGAGATACTATCTTCTTTGGATAGTAGCTAGACCCAGTTGCTTGGATGGTGAAAAGAGAAAATAGCCTGAGAGGGAAAATCTCTAGCTCGGAGGATTTCCCTCTTATTTATACTAGGCCCCAGTGATCTGGGGCGGCAGAATACCGGCCGGGGCGCACTTTCCCAGCTGATCCGGGGCACCTATAGGCCACTATAAAAGAGGGACCTAGGTCTCCTAAAGTAGTTCTTTTTTTTTCCCCCAAGCCATGTTAAAGAACGGTGAATAGGCCCCTGTTAGTACTTATATGGACTAACTTAGTTGTATTAAACTTACTACTAAACTACTAGGCCAAAGCCCAGTTTCCCCCATTATTCACCCACAGCTACTAGCTCCTTCTCGACCACAGGGTATTTTATAACGAATAGATCTAGGGTAACTCAGCGTTACGAGGAGCTTTTAGCTCTGTGATTATACGTCTTGCAATCCTGAGCTTAATAATCTTACGCTTTTTTACTCTATAATCTTCCACCTTTTGGTCCCCTCATCTTTACTCTTTTGACCTTACGTTTTTATAATTATAAAGTTTTTTTGAATTTACTTTTATAATCTATATTTGTCTAGTCTCTATTGTTATGTTAAGTAGTTATTTGACTCGTTTTTATCGATTTGTATTGATTGATCTATATTAATTAACCTGTATTAATTGATGTGTATTAACTAGTCTATATTTTTCCGATCTGTGTTTTTTACTATATACTTTACTAATATTAAGTGGTAGGGTCTTTCTCTTATTCCATTATAGCTAGCTAGTCGTAGTGAGTATAATAATAGAAGTTCAGGCTACAAAGGCTAAGTAAATAGTATCGTGGTCGTAGATAGCTTTCCTAAAGCTATGCCTATGAGTTGTAAGGTAGGTAAGGCTTTGGTAATTAATCGTAGTTTTAATAGAAGGGGTTTTTAGTAAAGATAGCTAAGAGCGATTATAAGATCTACTATAAAATTAATTACTAAAGAAGCTATAGGAAGTCTATTCTTGAGCCCGGGTTAAGTCTATACTATATATAAGCCTTGTTTCTATATATATCCTTTATTCTTTAAGTAGTTTATACTTACTTTAATCTATAACGATCATTTAGCCCCTCAGTGGGTGGAAGTAGGTAGAAGGGCCCGTCTACACGGGCCCATACTGCCTACCTACCACCCCTACCTAATTATCTACTTGGGCCCTTTTCTACCTCGTACTCCAACACCTACCCTTAGTAAGGTCCTTCGGAAGTAACGCTACTGGCACTGGAGCCTTGCGACCAATCCATATAAAAGCCATCCTCAACTTCGTAGTCCTCGTCATCGTCATCATCCCCATCGTCATCACCATCCACCACAATACCTTGGGCAATATAAACCGTCTTCTACGTACTCTAGGAATAAGGAAGAGGGGGCAGAACCGAGCCGATGAATGCCTGGAACTCCAGGAATCCAGCCTTGATTCTCTATATGTGATAGCTATTAGCCCGGTCCTTCTATTTTCAGGCTTATAGTCGCACTTACCTCAAGCGGCTTGCTCTGGCTCAGGATATTATTAGCCAGCTTAGTTTCGGCGGCAAGGCCAAAGAAAGTATAAAAGCTATATGTGTTAATATAAAATTTTATTCAGAATCGGAAGTCGATAAAGAAGTCGTCGCGGGCCATGCCCTCTGCGTACCTCTATATCAATTCCGCATGCCTCTATATCAATCCTGCATGCCTCTATATCAATCCTAACCTAGTGAACACGATCGATTATAGTAGAATTGGTAGAAAATGCCTACCACCTCGGTGCAGAGGGCCTCGATCCTTATACCGCCTATTATTACGGCATCGCGCTCGCGTTCCCCTGGTCGTTATCGAAGCTAAACCAGGCAATAGGCCGCCTGATTCGTCTCGGTCAGACAAAGTATATAACTTAGAAAGTTCTTAAGGCCAAGGGCACGGTAGGAGACTATATAGAGAGAGCGTGCATCTTAAAGTCCCCGGCTCGCCAACTCTTAACGTCGCTACCGCCGCTCGACGTAACGCCGGGTCCCAGGGCTCTACTATCTATAGAGACTCCGATGCTGAGCGTACTATGCAGTTAATAGTAAACGCCCCCGGTGAGCATG